ATAGAACACTCAGAGTCCCATACCTGGCAAAGGTACATAGAGGCTGGACATGGGCCAAATGTTTGTAGAGATATCACATAGGACACCACAGGATCAGGGATCCCAATCCCACTACTGAGGTGTGAATGTAAGCTTTATTCTTAGAAGCAGAGTAGAAGAGGGTGCCACAAAGTGATTTCCTCATTCATTAGGGGTGAATTATTTGCTGTTTCTACAAAGGAAAGAGGGAATATCAGAACAAAGTCCTTTCTGAAACAAGACCTTGAAAAGATTAGGTTGGTCTTCTAGCCTGAAAGTTACCTACCATTAACACAAGTAGGCCAAACCATGAAGACTGAAGACAGAAAAACATCAGCTGGTCACAGTGGTACACACTTGCAATCCCAGCACTCTAGGAGGCTCAGGCAGGAGGATTTGCCCATGCTGTGACTGAGAAGTTCTCTCCTGGAATGACCTGCTGATTGGAACTTGGTGAGGTCAGTCACAGTCTGATCGCTGACAAGTGGCAATGTCTTAGCTGGATTCATTTCTGGCTCTGGTCTTAAATCATTTCTGGCTTCATCTGCCCACTACTCTTCTTTCTTACAATACAAAGAGCAGTCTAGGAATCACCCTCTCTTATTATTACTTCTTATTAAAATAAATACCTAATGATTTAAAATCTCCATTTTGAAAGGTATTGGAAAACACATTTTGAATTTCTGTGTCTCCCTTTTCAAGCCTCCACCCTAGTGATTCTTCAAAGACAGTGCTCTCTTCTCATGAACTTCATTAAAAAAAAAAAAAAAAAATCCATTCTCAGCCTCAGGTGCTGCCATTCACTGTCAGAGGAGCTTCTGCCAACTGACCAGGACAGAATTCACCAGGGTCTCACCTAAATGAAAATTTTCCTCACTCAGTTCTGACTGCATGTTCTCTTAGCTTCTATTGTTGATATGATTGACCCAGAAAATATTTTCGCTTTTTCTTCTAGAATTTATATTTCCCATTCTAGTGATCAGCAGTCTTCATTGCCTCATTCATTCCACTGGCACAATTTTTCCCCCTGCCCTAGAAGTTAAGATTGGACCCGTCCATTTTCCCTTCAGTGAAAGGCAGGCTCCTTGGTATTCCGAGTCTTTCCTGGCCACCTGCTCTCCGCCCAGAGCTTGTTCTGTTCTGCCTTCTGTTCTTGGTAGCTATGGCTCTGTGCCCTTTGCACTCTCTCTCTCTCTCTCTGTCTTTCTCTCTCTCTCTCTCTCTCTCTCTCTCTCTCTGTTGGTACCAAAGAAGTTCACATTTGGCTTTCTCTTCTTTTAATTCATCAAAGTGGCTTTAGTTTTTCAGAGTTAGTGAATTCTTTATAGACTGGTAACATTTCTACAGATTTTTGACTGTTCGCTGTCCCTTCACTTTATCAGCTGTGGGATCTGACATGGAAAGCAGCACATTTCTATCAGCTTCAGACTGAATTCTTCATGACCTGAGCATTGAGTCCAAAGACAAGCCCCACCATTTCATCTAAGAGTCATGGTTGATGTCTCCATTTCACATGGGGATTTATTTTATTTTATATTTAGTTACTACTCTAATATTGAATGTAGATGGCCCTCCTAAGTCTAGTCTGAGAGCCTCCTCTACATCCAAAATCTTCTCCCCTCACTTTCTTTTTTTTTTTTTTTTTTGGTACTGGGATCGAACTCGGGACCTTGTGCTTGTGAGGCAGGTCCCCTCACTTTCGATTCTATTTCTATTAGCATTTCTACTTCTCACTCTCAATTTCACACTCTGTTTTCTTCCTCTGCTATCAGACAATTCTCTTTTTCTTTGTTCACTGTTGATTGAACTAGTGACTTTTAGGTTATTTGTCATATTATTGATAAGATTTCACAGCACCTATCTGTTGGCCTCACCGGCAGGACAGACCTTACCTGTCACTGCAGAGCGTGCATCCCCAAGTCAGACTTGTTCGTGGGTCCTGCATCCCCACTCCAGAATTGGGACCTGACACCTTCCTTGCTAAATCTGCGATGAGTGGCTTTGACAAGTGCAAACACTGATTTGAAAGTTGATCACGAACATCCCTCTGGTTGCCCCCTCTCTCTCTACCTCGACCCCAGTGCAGCTCTGTGCCACGTTCCTCCTTCAGGAAGAGTCAGAGATATAGAATATTTCTGGGGTGGGATGAGTGGCTGCTTCTCCAGTCTGCTTCTCCCTCACACCCTCTTCATCACCACCTCAGTCCCATGACAAACAATTACCCCAGAAAACACCAGCACAAGAGGGATTCTGAGACTGTGACCACCCGGATACCTCAGGCCATTGTGAGACTGTGCCCCTAAGACTTTTAGGAGAGCTTTTTTCCAGACAGAGCATTTTCTAGAATCTACCATCATCCATTTCAGACATGGTAGGGGTCATTTCCTTCTCAGTTTTTTAGTCTTTATCCTGAAACTGAAATGCCTGGCGGTACTCTTGATTTGCTTTTTGCCCCCAGTCTCTACAGACTGAAAATAAGAAATCATTTTATTTTTCCAGCAAGTTCTGGACTACCTACATTCCTTCTAAATTTTATGTATAAACTGGCTGCTTCATTTATGAACTAATCACTATCTTATAGTTTCTCACTGTATGCACCTAAAAAAGATATTGTACCTGCCCTAAGGTGTGTCTCAGTGGTAGAGTGCTCACCTTGCATGTGTGAGGCCCTGTGTTCTATCCTATACCCTCCAAGTCCCTACTGTGTTACCAGCACCACCACTAAATTAAAGTATTATACTTCTATATGTAGCTATAGTGTTAAGAACCTTATATTAAAATTTCTCTTCCACAGTCAGTTATTTTTGTCATATATTTGCTTAAACCTATGATAAATCCAACATTATTGTCATTTTTGTTTAACAGTCAATTGTCTTTTAGAGGAAGTTAAATAATAAAAATTTATTTTCCAATTTCTTTCTTTGGTCATAAGGTTTGTTGGTTTTATAATATTCACCAGAATTTACTTTCCAGTTTTGACTTTATATATACATTATGCATTGTTTGTCCAACATTTCAGCTTCACGGACTTTATGGACTTCTTTGGTGATATATTTGAAAGACTATTTCATCAGTATTATTGTAACAAAAGAACAAATTATAATGCCTTATATGATCCTCTTTGTTATTTTTAATAAAATATCATCTCTGAGCCAGAGTCTCAGCTTTTCTTGCAACAAAAGTTGATGACTTTACTTTTCAATCTGGCTGGAAATTTTTTAAGTAAACTGTAACATTATGAATGAGCATACATACTCTCCACTTCTGGCTAGGGCAAAATCAAAACCTACGGGACATGTACCTTCTGCTCTCCATGGCATACAGTTTGCACCTGCCCTCTGGTCACTGAGTAGCCATCTTATTAGATCATGGTCACTGTTTTAAGTAACTGTGATTTTACTTAACAATGGCCCCCAAGCATAGGACTAGTGACGTTGGCCAATTTGTTACAGTATACTGCTATTATCATTATTATTAGTTATTTTACTAATCTCTTGCTATGCCTAATTTATGAATTGAACTTTATCATGTGTATGCATCAGGGAAGAGAGTGATACAGGGTTGGGGGCTGTCTGCTTCATTTCAGACATCCATAGAGGTCTTGGATAAGGAGGTTACTGAATTCAAATGCAGGGCTTTTACACCAAATTCCATGTTCTTTCCTTTTTATATTCCCACTGTCTCCACAACATCACTGGGAACTCTTCAGATTTTTAAAATATTACTTCTCTGGATTTGAATTCCATCCCCAGAGGATCGTCTAAAAACAACTCAGTAAACCTCCTCATTCCACAATATTCATACCACTGAAGGGCTCCAGAGACCCTGAGTATAAAACCCTGATCCCCATCCCAACAGGCAAGGAGGGGCTTATAGTGAGGGAGGCACCAAACTCTATGAGGCCACAAGGTGGCACCTGCCTCACCTGGCTCCTCCCCAGTGTCCCCATTCCTTCTCCAGCAGAACCAGCACCCACTCTGGTGAGGACCACTAGTCTAGACACCTGGGCAGGTTTTGTTTCTCAGTTCTACCCAGACAGTGGATTTACTCAAAAAATGTTCTTCCTACATACTATCAACAAACCTCCGCATATGGAAGTGCTTCTACCTAAGTAATAATAAGTTGTAATTTACAATTAACACATTACTCTGGAAAAGCAGACACAGATTACAATAAGAATCCCTTAACTACTCTTAGATTCTAGATTTGTTCTCAAAAAGGCAAAAAATATTATTTCATGTCCTAGAAATGTTAGTCTGAAGAAACCAGGACTGGACTAAGTGGTGAACAGCAATGCCAGCATGGAAGAATGAACTGTCCTATGCTTTGGAAGTTCCAGAGCCCCTCCGCGATTCCCAACTTTACCTTTAATGTCCACATTACCGCATGTAGTCAGTACCACTCCACTCTGGCATTACTGAATTCCAATTGCATGCATTCTGCTTTTAGAAAGTAGAATAGTAAGCTGGAAATGGGGTCAATGTTAAGGATTCTGCCACTAGATGGAGAAATTACCCCAAGCCAACAGAATCACCGGTCTGTCCTACTGATGGAAACAAGGAGCAGCAAAGATACTTACAAATTCAAGTTTGTTCAGGTTACTATGGCAACTATGCTTTATGCTGATAAACAGTAACTTTTTATCAACTCATTTTGTGTACTTTCACTGGCATCCGGTGGACACTATTAATCTTTTATGACATCTGAATGTTTACATCCTGTCATTATCCACATTCATCTATGATTCAGTGTTATTTAAACTTCCTGAAAATCATTTAACATCATTTCCATTTTTGCAGCTATTAGCACTAAGTATATTCAAATTTCGGTCCCAGCCCTGCAACAGATTAAATATAAACATCAAAGTTCACAATAGATTAAAATGCTTAATGAGAAAGCTATAATAAACAGCAAAAAATAAACTCACCCCAAAAGAGAGGTTTGAATAACTAGACCAATCAGATCTTGAATATTGCCTTTATTTTGCAGAAAATGCTTTCTGCCGATTGTCTTTGGCTATTTTGTCAAAAGAAAAATATAAAACAATTGGTTCACAATACAAGAGATTAGCTGAATATGCTTAAAATAAAAACCTAGTGGGCAGGAGTCAAAATCACCAGTTCAACTAAAATCTGCTGTTCTCCCTATGACTTTACTCTGTCCTTAACAGCTCAACTCTAACTACTCTTAAGCAACAGGGAAGAGAATTAAAAGTGTGCTTTGTGTCTTACTAAAGTAGAACCAGTGGACATTACAAATTCAGGTGTGCCAAAATCACCTACATGCTGTATGAGGAGTTTTAGGACCCTGGCAAACAATTTTTGCCTGTGAATCTTGGGGAATGGGGCCAATTGTCCCCCATATACAGATTCTAGCAAGCTGGGCTGGTGGGACTCAGCAAATAGCAAAGCATGTATTCCTCCTCTTACTTTAGAATGAGGTCAACCAGGCTTTGTCTCCTGGTTTCTGTCCCTGCACCCATGAGCCTGCAATCTGTGCCTCAGAGGTGGAGCAGATCAACACTGGTCACCACAGTGGAGAAGTCCTTGAGCCTCTGAGACAAGGGCTGGGTCACATGGAAGGAGGCGACACAGGCGTCCATGAGGCTATGAGGCGGCCTTGGGCCGAGGCGTCATACTGGCTATCAGGAATGTCTGTGACAGTGGCCGCCCCTTCATACAAGGGTGAGCTCGAGGATGAGGCAGCTGGGACTGCATGCGAGAGGGATGGGTAGTGTGCAGGGGATCCTCGGAAGAACTGGGCCCCCAGCCCATTGGACACTCCTGCTGCCTGGGAGCCAGGAGTGATGGTGCCATTGCTCACAGACCACAAGCTGGGATACTGGCTGGAAGGGAAAACAGAAGTCAGGGAAAAACCAGTGTTCTGAATCTATCCCTAATGATTGCATTACAACATTATACAGCTTTCAAACAGGTCATTTTCTCTGTTTTGTAACTCCCAACCACTTTCTGAGGTATATAGAAGTTGTTGTTATATTTATTAACAAGAACAAAAATCACTAGGGAGTAAACTAAAGATGGTTTGCATATACATAGCTCATGCAGAGCACTGTTAAAACTAGGCTAGAGACAGTGTTTAAGAATGCAGAATTCTCAGACATGCAGAATAGTACCTTCCAGAGGATGGGCTGAAGTACATGCTTTTTAACTAGTACCTCCCTGCCCCCACCACAATCATTCTCATGACCACGACCAGAGTTCCTAGACTGGAGGGTGGAGAAACATCCTCTGGAGAACTCTAGCAGTGTGCCACTGCTTGCATGTTGTCCTGCTCAGTGGGTTGGTGCCAGCATGGACAGTCCAGGGAGGGACCACCGAGCTGGACCAGGGGCTCACCCCTAGCTCTCCCTTTCAGTAGCTGTCCTGCATTAGACTGGGCCTTTGACTGTTTCTAAGCCATTTCCCAATGTATAAATAAGTTGGAAATGAGTATTGTACCGGCTGGTCTGAGAACATTAGAAGTGAACGCTGTTAAAGGGCATGAAAATTTTGTATGGATAAAAGTTATAGAGTTCTATAAATGAATAATAAGCATAATATTGCTATATTATGTACCAAGCTATGTCCTATACTTCAATTGCATTTGACTTTGTAAATGAAGGAAATGTATCACTTTTCAGTCAGCTGCTTGGTTTTTAAGTCATTCTCCTCTACATAATTTGCAGATTAATAAAGCAGCCATCATTCGTTACCTGCTATCCAGCAAATGTGTTAAGGACTTTGATCCTATATCCACAGAAAAGCCAGCAAATTTATTTCCTTAACTGAATAGGCAGCTCCTGCTGGATAAGTTTCTATAACATTTCTTTACACAGCATCCAGTGGTCCCAACAACCCTGTAAGACCAGGCTGAAGTTGGGGTTACTAAGTGTCTTTTTACATATGGAGAATTCCTGGCTTAGAGAAGTTAAGAGATTGTCCATCATAGAACTAGCACACAGAACAGCAAAGACAGAGGCCCTGGTTTTGTTAGAATATGATTGAGGCCAGCTCAGGGGATAGATTTCAAGCAGAAACTCAGCAGTCATGGAACCAGGTGCCCCTGCACATACCCAGCTGTTAGTAGAATAATAAGTAAAAACCCAAGCCAAGATGCATGGTGTACAATCCCAGCACTCTGGGAGACTGAGGTGGGAGAATTGCAATTTCAAGCCCAGCCTGGGCCACTTAGCAACTTAGGGTGACCAGTCTCAAAATAAAAACAATTAAAAAGGGATAGGAGTTGTAGCTTAGTCCGAAGACCCTGAGTTCAATCCTCAGTGCTGAAATAAATAAATAAATCCATCCAACCACCCACACATACAAGGTAGATTAAAGAGAAAAGGCAGGAGGAATGGAACCAGCATCAGGTCACAAGAGGGTGTACATCACTTTTCACACATACATACCTAGGGCCAGTGGAAGGGCTGGCACTATGACTCATGGGGAGCATACTGGTGTGGCTGGGTACTCCAAGGCTGGACCAGTTGTCATGGGATTGCAGCACAGACAGGCATGCAGATGAATTGTCTGAGTAGGCTTAGGAACATTAGAGCATGGTTACTAGTTGGGGGTCTTCCAAGAGCAACAATATACATTGAAATGTTACTATAACTGAAATACTCAACACTGAAAACAACTGGTATATGAGATATTAAACATGGGAAACAATCTATCAGCCAGCTTCACTGGTCACCAATGCACAAGTTTATTGCCAAATGTATTTATGTGAAAATCTATCCCTGTAAACCCAAGATTTTTCCTTTACCATCAGACCAGTGGATGATCTATAAAAAATGAATTCTAGTCACTTGAGGACGGAGATTTTATATCTTGGGTTTTTTTCCACGTTGGAGATCAAACCCAAGGCGTTGGGCATGTTAGACAAGTGCCCTACCACTGAGCTACATTCCCAGCCCAAATTATTTACCTTTAAAAACAAAAATAAATATCACTTTAATCTGCCTTGTCCTCAAGGATTATTTCATAAGTTAAATGGGTTATGGAAACAATTACTCCAGGCAAATTAAAAATATGATCTTCCAGCCTCAGAGTCTAGCTGCTGGCTGAACAAGTCCCAAGAGCTATTTCCTTTCATTTCAAATCAGTCGTAATTGCTTAATTGCTTTATGGTGTTCTTTAGCTATTTTCCTTCTTTTGGAGGAAACAAAAGTAAGTCTGGGAACAGAGTGTCAGAGAGAATTAGGCCTGGGGTCTTTACGGGCTGCTCAGGGTTCAGGACGTGACTGGAGGCATCAGACCACCTGGAGGGCTGCCCCCTACCTGGCCCTGGCATCTGGGTGGGGATTGAGACAAGACCCCAGCCAGTTTTCAGTGATGCTGATGCCACTGCTTCAGAGGAGCACACGGGGAAAGTCATGTCTAGTGAAAAGTTCTTGTGCTTGTCTGGCCCAAAGCAACCACTTTACAGGGGGCTATTAAGCACCCAGGCCTGCTCCACTCTGGAGACCTACAGTTCTTTGGAGAGAACCAGAGAAAACTATCACTCCAAGGCACCCTGGGCATGACAAGCTCCCACCTGGACCTCTGAGGTGGACCCAGCAGGCGTGTGAACATGAGATGCACGTCTTTCTGGAGCCACAGAACTGGCTTCCAGAAGAGGGTCTCCTTTCTGGTTCTGGTACTTGCAGAATGCCTTTGGGGAAGGGGCTTCCAGCCACCCACCTGGCCCAGGGGACTTAAACTTGTGACCTACTTGGAGAGTTGTTCCGATGAGAGTAGGGACTGGGGTAGGGTGCTGCTCGGTGGCTCCTCAGGGATGGGTACCTTTCACAACCATGTGTGGAAGGCAGAGAGAGGGCTCCTCCAAACTGAGGGTGGGGGCTGGCGGGTGGGCAGAGTGTGCTGGTTCCAGGAATAAGCCAGCCCCCTGCTGTGAGGAGAGAATGCTGAGTGACTGGTGTTGGTAAGGACTGTATATTCCAAGGAGGGCACAGCAAAAACCCATAACTGGGTTTTTTCCTCACAGTCCTTGGGAAATAGCTTTCAATATTCAGTGCACAGTCTACAGCCCAAGGGGTTACAGGCTGTGGGTGGTCCTCCTCCTCCTCCTCCTCCTCCTCCTCCTCCTCTTCTGCTATTCTGCTGCCCACTCAGGCTCCTGCTCTGTGGGTCCATCTGGGGTGGAACACTTCCTGCTTCCTCTTCTGCTTCAAGCTCCCCAACGCCTCCCCACATTCTTCCCTCCTAAGCATCAGAAAGTTGCTAGGAGACTATCCCATCATCCTCTAAAATCCCAATTTCTTCTTTGTTCTTTTTAAAAATTTGTTTAATTGAAAAACAATATTTAGGGAGAGAACTACTCTGCTTTAAACTAATGAATTTTGCAGACAATACTTAAAGGAGGGAAGGAAACTATGTGGCTGTACTGCAGAGCCCCTCACCTGCATTGTACACCTTCCCTACATGTGGCTGCCCTTGAGTCATTGTGGGGACCTGATTATTAAATTAGCTGTTAGACTCGCCTAGAAGATTATTTAAAAACACCCATTCAGAATGGAAGAGGATAGTTGGAGGAGAATGCTAGACTGGTTCCAGAAGCCTTTGAAGGTACAGCAAGCACTGCCCTTTCCACCCCTACAGATAGTTCAACATCTCCACATCCCTCCCTGAGTGGAGGATTTTTCCTCATAGACAACACCCTAGAGACCTGCACCTGCTCAAACTCATGGATCTCCTAAAGGAAGCCAGTCTTGAAGCAGAAGTACCCATCTTATTAGCCAAGTTTTTTACCAAAACCAGAATTCATGATCCATCCCCAGAACCAAAGCAGGCTCAGGGTAACAAACTATTCATAAGCATCAACCCAAGATAGGCTTTCAGCATTCAACTACAGCCAAAAGTAGAAATCATCTTGAAGAAGATATGACAAGCTAGACTCTCTTCTTTCCTACCAAGCCTAAATGCCCCCCAAGGTCCCAGAGATCTCTGCCTCAGGTACAGTGCAGTTGCCTCAGCATAGAACAAAAGAGCCTAGGTGAGTTGTTCAAGACAGGGTAAGCACCCACACCCCAGTTAGTGGCCGGTCACCGCTCCATCAGAGGCCATGGGCCTTGGCACACAGACCAGGGCATTCTGCTCCCCCCGCCATACCCAGAAACTGGCTGCCATCAGCAAGATTATTCCTGAAACAAAGCACCCAGGGGGCACAGGGTGCAACAAACCATACATTGGGAATATCCAGGCTGTTGGCTGTCCCCTGCTTCTTCCATCACATCTTTGTGATCACTTCTGTCAAAAAAGCGTATCACATTGTCAAGGAGAAACATCAGAAATTAAGAATGTGTAATAATAGGTCTTCTTTATGCCTACTTCTTTGGCCAAGGGGCAGAGTTTGGATATTCTCACCTTTCTTTTGCATCCAGAAAAGCTTTTGCAAATGGGTTGTATTTAATTTTAAGAGCTGTGATCTGAAAAAAAGAAATTGTATTTATAATTGTATTTACTATTGTATTTATCATTAACCATTTCTTGGCACCAAGAAATTGAGAAGCATCATCTTGGAATATTCAAAACCTAACAGAATTCTTTCAAGGTGTCTTTTTTTGGTTTGGGTCTGATGTAGCTGAGAAATTGCAAAGAAGAGTACATTTATGAAAACTTTTGAATATTAATTTTCTAAGTGAAATTCACAATAAATTTAACCTACCACCAATATTCCATGTGTATAAATCAAAGTGACTCAAACCATAACCAGGGCTGCCAAAGAAATACTTATCTGCTGCCTGTTGGTGGTCAACACTGACTACTGAACAAGTTTTCTGTACAGGCATCTAGCCAGCATTGGTATGCAGTGGAGTCTTCACAGTGCATAAAGAAGCAGGACCCTATGACCCATCCTGTCAGGATGGTTTCCAAAGCGGAAATCTTTCACTCAAAAATTCTCAAAGCACTTAACTGAAATGTTTCATGCATTCTTTATTTCAAGCATCTGGTATATATTTCTAGTTTAGACACTTTTATGGAAAATTTAAAAGAGAATTTTTTTGAATGAGGGTTTATTTTATACCTTTCTCCCCTTTGTCCTGACTTCAGGTTGTGGTGGTAAATCAGAAAAGGCACTGAACACTGGTGTCCCCCAAACTGTTGTCCCCCAAACATCTACTCATCCCCAGGTTCCCTGGAGGGCCACACACTAAGAAAGTTTCCTCCCTGACACTCTTACCTCCTCATTCTGATAAGCAGTCACTGCTATGAACTGGGTCTCAGGAAAACAGTGGCTGGTGATCATGCGCTGCGGACCTCCGACTCTCACTATGTGAATCCGAGGCTCGTACTTATGTAAGGAGTTCAACATGATCTGAAGGAGACACACACAGCAACCTAAGTCCCACTTAAAACAGCAAAATATCCATTCGACCTACTGCCAAGGAGAAAAACACATCCAAGCCTCAGAAATCCTACAGCTCCCAAGAAAGTGTCTTACTGTTGAGGGATGGACAAGGGAGTCCTCAGGTGACATTTCTCATTGGCTAAGACCTGCTGCTTCCCACAGCTGTGAGCTGCCAGTACCACTAAAGGCAGTGAATGCCCATGACAAAATCCTTTGCCCTGGTGCCAAGGACACCAGGACAGCTGCAGGCACCTTCAAAAGCCTGAGCTCGATTGTCCTCCAGAAAGTGTTGAACTAAAGAATGTTCTTTGGAAAAGGAGCCAAACTTGTTCAGACTTCCGCAAATATTCCCACCACATGTGTTTATTAGCTTTAATGTGACTTTACCATTGAAGCCCTTCTCTTCACCCTCAGGAGAGATGGGCTAGAACAGAAAGGTTCTCCAACTCCAGACCTGCAGGAAATCCTCAAAGATGAGGGCTCCCACTCCTGTTCTCCAGGCCTTGGTGTGACCTTTATCAGCTTAATATAAACAGCTACTAAAGATTTAATGGGGGGGGGGGCAGTGGCAGTTTCTCCAGGGCAGAGGTGGCCTCCTGTCCCAGCCAAGAGATCCCTCTGGAGCAGCAATACAGGCGCAGTGTCCTCTGTCCCAGCCCCTCCAGGCTCCATGGCGCCTACCTGGCCTCCTCCATTCAGCTTGTTGGTGAGCTTGACTTTGCTGAAGGAGACGGGGGCCTTCATCCAGTGGGCCCCGAAATTGGGCGAGTCGGGGTGAATGTAGACGCAGCTGGGCGCCTGCGGCTCAGGCTTGCCCCCAGGAACCCACTCCCCATTCACATACTTCCAGCGGTGGTTGTCGGCCGCCACGAAGTCCAGCAGGAAGGAGTACATGGCATTGGGGTCCAGCCCGGACACGTTCACCTTCAGCACTGGAAACATTCTCCTGCAGAAGACAGGGACGAGCAGGAGGACCTGGATCTAAACCATGAGGTAGGCGCGGGAACCTTGGCAGAGGGGAGCCACCCTGCGAACTTTCACAGGGGTCTCTCAAAGGGCCCCTGTCTGAACCCTCCATATCCAGGGCCTGAGGCAGAGTGGAGAGGACCTGGCTAGCCTTTCGGATGGGGAGGCCAAACCCAGTGGGGACGAACTGGACCCAGGCGTGGCTCAAGGTCCTGGAGACCGTTCTGAGTCCTACCTTCCCTAAACTTCTCCAGGGGAAGCCCCAGAAGAGTGAAGGTTAGGGATCCAGTAGTGGCTAACGCAGCGGGAACCAAAAGCCCTCCCCGGAGGCAGAAATAGTGTCCTTGGGGCGAGGCGTTCCGACTCCCTGCGCGGGTCTCGGCAGGCACCTACCTGCCGTTCTTGGTCACAATCATCTCGTTGGTGAGCTCCTTGAAGCGCAGCCACAGCTCGCTCTCCTCCAGGCCCACGCGCAGCTCGCGCTCGGTGGGGTCGCCCTTCTCGCTGCCGGCCTGCAGCTCACTCTCCACGGCGCTCAGCAGGTGGTCCACGCGGTACTGCTGGCTCTTCCCCGAGCTCTCCGCGCCCGGGGAGTTCATCCTCCCCGGGCCCTCCCCACCGCTCCCGACCCGGATTCGCTACCCTACAGCCACCTTCACCCCTCTCGGCCGCCGACTTCCGAGAAAAAGAGTCTCTTGGGCCAAGACCCGGGACCACACCGGGTCCCAGCTCGGAGCCTGAGAAGGGACCGGGCCGGGATGCGGGGGGAGGGGGCGGGGTAGGGGAGAGGGGTTGGGGGAGAGGTGGTTCCACTTGAACTCCCTCGAGGCGCGACTAGAGTAGGTCTCTGGGGAGAGAAATTCTGTCCCCTCCCCATAAATAGAGCGGCGGCGGCCCGGGAGGGGGGCGCGGCGGATTGGGCCGCGCATCCTTTGAAGTGCGGGACAGCCGCCCATTGGCCGCGCGCGGCCATATCAGACCCGGCCGGGCGGGCCCGGGAGCCCGGGGCCCAACAACGACCCCCGAGCGCCGTTTCCTGTAAATCCTGAGCCCCAGCCTCCGCGCCGGCCGGGCCCTACACCCCCGCCCTCCCACAAATGTTTGCACCTCCATCAAAGCGGCGGGGCGGGCCGGGGAGGAAGGCGGGGAGCGAGGCGCAGTGTCGAGGGTCGTCCGGCCGCTAGCGACCCCTCCTAGTCCGGCTGGGCGGGTCCCAGGCGAACGCCTGCGCTCAGGCCGAGGCCACCCTCGTGCTTGGTGCATCCCGTCGGCCTCTCCCCGAAGCGCAGCCCTGCAGTCGAGCTGCTTCCCCGGCCCTCTCTGGCCGCGTCCCTCCACCCGCTGCGCCTTGGCGGGCTCCACTCGCGCGCGGCACCGCAGATCAGCCCACCTGGCGTCGTTGGGCCGGCAGCCCTCACCTGTCCAGAGAGGGAGGGAAACGGACGGGGGTAAGGACCCGATCGAGGAGACTTCCTCGCTTCCCACATACGAACAGGAATTTGACGGAGAGGTCCGCAAGTGCATGGAGTGGCCCGGGGTGCGCTGGGCTCCGTTGTCCTGCAAAGGCTTTTGCTGAGGGTGGGCGCGTCGCCCCACCGGCCGCAGCGCCAAGCGGTGTCCGCAGCAGCTGGTTTATTACCTTTCGGTGAGAACTTCCGCGGGGAGAGCGAGGAGAAGGTGACAATGAGCAGGAAGTAGTTCAATGGGGTCTCTTTAAACAATAACATTCCTTTAAAACGGGAGCCTGACCAGGGGAAAGGAAGCAGAGGCTCCGCCAGCGCTCCCTTTGAGCTCACTCTGAACACGGTGCTTGGCACTTTAACAAGGACTTGAGGCCCAGCCCTGACTCCGCGCATACCCCAGTCCCACGCCCTGGGAAAGACGCCACTGCCTCAGGTGGGCCCCGGTTCTGCCAGCCCTAAGCCTGAGTAAGGGAGCTGTGCCCGGGTAACCGGCCTCTCTCCCCAGGGAAGTTGTCGGGGCCCTCGGGTTCTGCCTGTCTCCCTCCTGGGAGAAGGTCGCCCAGGAGCCAGCCCCCGGACTGGTCCTGAGGCCTTCAGATGAACTGGAAACCCTCCTGCGACTCCTCCTGCCCCTCTTCTACTCGGAAATTGACCAGTGGAGTCGGGAGGTGAGAGCACCTCATTGCACTCCACCGCGCTGGGTGTCTTTTGTTGTCTGGGAGGGATGGAAATTCCCAGGGGGCTGTCCAGAGGGGGAGTTTCCTATGGCAGAGACACCAAAAGGACCTCATTTGCTCCCGACACCGGACCCTCCAGATCTTCCTGCAGCCAGCTCATCAGCCTGCCACCAGCTCCCAGGAAACTTATGGACGCAACTCAGTTTCCATTCTAGGAGTGTCTGTGGCCTGAGACCCCTGAATCTCCGCACCTGAAATAAAGGGGCAAAGCGGAGGGGCTGTGGAGACAGAAGGAGAGCGAGTCCGAAGCTCTTGTCTCTCTCTACACCCCTTCCAGGAGCCGCCTTCGGAACGCCAGGGTAACGTGGTGGTCGATTTTCCTGAAGTCCGGGAAACTCAGGAAGATTCTTCTACAAACGGCCTTCTGAGCGGGAGGGGCACAGCCAATTAAGAATAAAACTGAAGCAGGAAATGATCCTATATTTCTATGCTCCAGAAGACATCCCAAGTATTGAAGCGCACAATCCAGAAGAAGGTGGCTTTGGAAGTTGGTGCAGGGGTCCAAGTGTGGAGTCTCCTTTCACATCCCAACCCCCCACCCTTCTGTGTCTGATTTCTGATCTTCTCTCCTGGGTTCTCAGGACCAGGTCCACTCCCTAGGCCTTTTCAAGGAAGGCTGCAGTGCATGACAGTTTACAGCCAAAAACTTCCTCCAGCCAGGCTGTAAAGAATTCCCAGCTAATAACACGTTTCCTTGGGCGGGAGGAGGGGGCTGGCAAGTCTCACTTCTCCTCAAGGTCTACCTCTTTTGAGGAAGCTCAATCATATCAGAATATAATAGGGGAAATGTCTCATGGCTGTGATCTGAAATGTAGCTGTCTCCCTAACAAAAAAATTAGGAAACATTAGTATACACACACCTCAGTTCCCAGAGATGCAGGATTCCCTGGCTCAAACCTTCTCAGATGAGAAAACCCTTTGTACCTTTGCACATAAAGTCTCACACAGGCACAAAGCCAACCCAGAGGAGAAGACAGTATCCTGTGCCTTGACCTTTCATTCAGAAAGAAAAACACATATTTCTTTTCTAAGTATGTAATGTGTGCCTGTTGTAGGATATACTAGATATTCATCAGTGCATAACCAGCATTCACATCTACTTATATGTGAAGATGGAGCCCTCCAGCCCCATCCCCTCTCAGGCTCAGGTTTTAGTGTTCATTCCTCACCTTTTCCCATTTCATTTTCCCCCAGAGTAATTGAGCAGATTTAACACTAGTGGTTCACAAAGTCCTAGATTACAAATGACACATAAAGGCTGCTCAACAGCAAATAATTCTATGACCAGTTGGTTTATCTTTTCCTTTAAAAGAAAACTAGTGACTTTGGTTATTGTTTTTAAAGTTGCATAACTTTAGACCTTCAATGCTGGAATTTTTTAAAAGGCCATTGGATTGTTTGGGGTAGTTTGCAGAAAAGAAGACACATTTTTTAAAGTTTCTTTCTAGTTACAGGGGCCCACGCTGCAATGCTCATTATCACTGAGATAACTGGAAGAAGGCCACCACACTGTCATCTGAATTTCGTAATGGGCCATGCTGAGCTGCAAAGGGCTGCACACCACAGAAATGGCACTGGATGAGTAGCTATGAGCTCCTTACTGACGGCTTTGTGAGCCCTGGGCTTTATCACACTGGAAGGTGCTTGGTTGGTTTAGTGACAGGAGTTCACATATTCAAAACCAACAAAGCTAGTGAGGACAAAAGTTTGGAATTGTAACATTTCTCCCTAAAGCTAAAGCACTTCTGGTCCCTGCAACTTGGAATGGAAGGTTGCGGAGAAGAACTCTGTTAACGTCTAGATTTGGGCAGCTGGGGGCTTCTCTGGCTGGATACTCAAGCTTTCAATCACAGCTCCCAAGGTCCTCCTGCATGGACATGTGAAGGTCCTTTTTCACTCTTCTTCCTGGAATGCAGGGAGCACTGCTCTGCCCATGTCTCTACAGTTCTGATCTGCATCTGGCCAGGGTTTCTGGCTATTCTGTTCTATACCTCAGAGGCTATCCCTGGTTTCAACCCCTGCCTATTTTGACTTCTTCTGCCTTCTCCCCCATGTTGTTCCTTTCTCAGGTCTTTTGCACATTTCATATGTTTCATTGGCTTGTGAAGTGTTTTTCCCACACCGCTCTGTCAATTAACCTCAATGTCACTTCTGGGTTTTACTGCCTCTCAGAGATTTTATTTCTCTGCTGTAGTTTTGGGTTTCTGGCAGTCCTGACTTCCTCTCAAAGGCCTGGGTTGCAGGCCTTTTGCTCCCTTGGGCTGTTTCCATTTCTTAGAAGCCTCAGTTTTTGGTCTGAGGCAGAAGACCTGTCAGGTCTCCTGGGGTTACTGTAGTCCCCGGGGTGACTGCACTCCCTGATTTCCCAAGTCTGATTATCTTCTGAATACCCCTCCTCTCCTTTAGGCTTTAACCCTTGAGGGAGGTTCCTGTTATCTCCCTTTTCTCATTCCTCCTTCCTAGCCAGACCCTGCCTGGGCTCACCTGGAGGGAAGTCTTTTCACAGCTTTCCTGAGACACAGAGCCTTTCATTGTCACTGTGAATGCAGCCCTTAGCTCTCTGTGGGGATGCCAGGTCTTCCCAGCCAGGGAGTGCAGACAGCTCACATGTCTAAGGAGAAGCAGCAGCCAGTGTATCCAAGACCCATCGTGATGTGTGTCACGGATCATTTCACACACAGCAGATACCGGAATACTGGACTGAACATTAGCCCTTCTCAGGCCTGACACATAAGTGCCACAGAACATGGAGTAGCCTTTCTATCTTTAGTCATTTGTGATTCAGATGGTCAGTTGCCTTGAAGTACACAAGGAAAGATTCCTGGGGTAAACTATTACACCTTAAGAATGAATGAAAATGAGCTAATGCTAGGGAAGAAGAGTTACTGAAGGGTAGAAGCATTGCTCAGGACTCAAAATTACTCCAGAAAACACGAGTGGGGCTCTGCTTGACACGGTAATCTGCTGCATATTTTCTCTCTCCCTCCACAACCTATTTTATACTCAGCACTGAGTGAAACACAAAGGCTAAAAGCATCTGTTTGCAGAAAAGACTGGGGGACACTTACAGGTGGAAATGCACACCAAGGCTCACCATGAGCCAGCTCCATTTTCCCTCATTTCTGTCCAGTGAGAAGAGCTGGCAATAAGTCCAAAATCACAGCAGGCTGGGCCAGGAATATAGCTCAGTGGCACAGTGACTACCTGGAAAGCACCAGGTCCTGAGTCTGATACCCGGTACCAAAAACAACAACAACAAGAAATCACAGCAGGCTGAGATCATGGTCGGGAAAAGTCAGAGCCTGGCAGGAGATTTTATGGGAAGACCAATGTGTTCAGTGTTCATAGGTGAACGGGAGGAAGGAGGGAGGAGGTCAAAAGGAGGCCTAGGAGGGCGGCTCCCAACAGAGTTTCTAAACGGGCTCAGTGGCTTCAGGGGATCTGGTGGAAATAACTCCAAGTCCTGCAAAAATTCTAGAGGCCAATGGCTGCACTTCTAGACGCTTCTTATAGAAATTCTCGTGAGTGCTATAGACATAGAAAGAAGAAGTA